TTTAAAGTTGTGAGATTCGGTCTAGAATCTCATAACTTCTTCCTGGTCTGTTGAAGCACCAATAGTCTGCATCCAATTATTTAATTAATTGCTCTTAGTTTTTTGGATTATATTTTCTAGTTACCGACCTGTTTTTACTATAATTTAATTTGACAAACCGGGTCTTCTCTACATTCTTTTTCCTGTTTGGTGCGATTGCAATTGCGGGTCTTGATCTGGATTGACCGGAGCGGAGCCAAAATGAGCTCAGCTCCGTATTTTGATGGTGAGGGATGGAAAAGACGTACGTGGGCGGTGACGAGCGGAGGATGTGGAACAGCGCTCATTGATTTACATGAAAGACAAGTACTCCGTACGTGAGCGGAGCGCTGGCGGAGTATGTGGAATCTGGGGTAAAGGAGGACAAATACACGTCCGGCTTCCACGTCAGGCTCGAAGGCAAATTACCTCCAAACAGCTCTCTTGCCTCTATCATTTTCAACCAAAACTGGTTGATTTGGCCCTCCTGCAGCAGCACTGGCCATGCTCTATTTTGTTATTGCGCTGTCTCTCTGCCCTCACATACACACGGCAGCATGTAGCTTCTCGCTTCAGTCTGTAACTCCGCCCACATCAAAGTCGGCCATTTTGATTAGGTCACCAATAGGAAGATCCCATATCTGCTGACCGACGGCATGTGGAAGGAGTTGGATATCCAACCGAGGTGTCCTGCAGACTGAAGCGAGAGGCTACATGCTGCCGTGTGTATGTGAAGGCAGAGAGAGAAGGACGGGCCGCGGCGGCTGCGGTAGTATTGATACTTTTAACATTGAGTATCGTATCCGGATACAACGTTTTAGTATCGATACTTTTTGGAGTATCGATACTTTTGACAACCCTAGTATGCAATGACATTATAAAAGTACCCACTGGATCTCTTCAATAAAACCACTGAGTTAAATTGTGACCATAAACAAATACTGAGATAATGGAGAAAGAAAGTACAGGGATCTGAATCAGATAAACTTTTTGCCAAGTTGTGTTTCACACATATGATGGATTTGCTTTGGTTACAAGGTGCTACAAATAGACTAGGTGCAATTGACCTTAATTTATTTGTAAAAGAGAGCACAGAGGCAGATATTTAAATACAGTTACAACAATACGAAACAAAATTAAATACTACACGTCTGGTCATTGTTTTATTTCCAATGGGAAAAAGTCAGCAGGGGACTTTGGCGTTTTTCCTGAGACTCCCTGCAGGTAGGAAGCTGTTTTTAAGGAAAGAAGGTTTGATCAACTACATCAGCAATATCCAAACAGTTCCCTCTGAAAGAGTGATGATGGACACACTTTAACAAGTTCTTGGCAATGAAAATTCTTCAAATTTAAATGATGTGTCTCATCTTCTAAATGTTCTCCTCAGAAATTGTTTCTGGATCTGTTTTAAGTTTTAAAATCAAGCTGCTGACTAGTCGCACAAACCATATGTCGTAATTATATTACATTCTTCTGCCTCAAAGCTGGTAGGTTTTGAAATAACTCTACCAAGGTTTGTAAACAAATCAAGGACGTCCCAGGGTAAGGAGCATTTCCATCCTTCTCAATACAACAATCCTTTCACAAAGTCCAAAGACGCCCAAAGGGTTCCCTTATTCTACTTCCCACCTCAAAGTGTTTTGTCTCTGATTGCTGCAGTTTGCATTAGGACATAAATATATGCTGGATAAAAAAAATATATTTTTAAAAGAAAATCAAATGCATGTATAAACAGTCAAACCGATACTTTAAGGTTAAATATTTATGTGTTTCTTTCTTTAAAATGTGAGTATTTATAATCTTTTACTTCTCTGTGAATTCTTCACAATTTCAGATCTCTGTGTACACTGCCAGAACCAGAGACTCCAGCTGGAGCACTTATTGATGAGGCTAAACACATAAGCAATCTGCAGTATTCAGTTTGGAAAAAAATGGCAGATATCATACTATACAGTAAGTAAACTATTTTAAAATGGTGTATCTTTTAAATTTGTAAATGTTTTTCCTATCAAAAGATGTCTTACAGGGTTATTAATGTGTTTTTTTTTTTTTTTGTTCCATTCATCTGTTTCTCAAGCTCCTGTTACTCTGGATCCCAACACCTGTAGCAGCCATATGACTGTATTGGATAACCTTACTAAACTGGTAGAAAATTCTAATTTTGACTCAATTCCTGATAATCCTGAAAGGCTACACTGGGCAGACATTCTTGGTGCTCAAGGTTTCAACTCTGGTAAACATAGCTGGGATGTGGAAGTGGATGGTCAGTGGACTGTAGGTGTGGCTGCTAAAACCAAATTTGCTGGTTATCAAAAATCATGGGCAATTTATATATGCCCTTGTACCAATGTCCTACGTAACCTTACTCTAGGGGATTACATCACAGAAATCAATGTAGATCCATATCCTAAAAAAATCAGGGTGTACTTTGATTACAACAGAGGAATATCATTTTTTGACCTTGATCGAAAAAAGATGGTGTATGCCATAGAATACACTTTCACAGAAACAGTCTATCCATACTTTCGTGGAAATGTTAAAATTCTGCCAACTAAATTATCAGTCCGTATAGAGCCTCGTTGATCATCATTCTAGAAGCATTTTAAATCAAGCTTTCTGAATTTTGACCTTCTTGACAAAACTTTCACTAACTTGTATTTTGCTTTTTTTCTTTATGGTAGTAAATTAGCATTGTTCTTATTTTGTATCAAGTTGACAAGCAGTCCATGTTATTATGTTTACCTACTAAACATGATCTACATGGGCTTGTTAAGGAAAATCTCAGGAATTCCAATGAGTTTGCCAGGTGGATTGAGGAATTTTGAAATGTGTGTCAAGAATCCTGCCACTGTTATTTTTGCCAATGGCCATATTGCACTATTGTAATTTGTAAACTATGATTGCATTATATGACTACATATTTTCACTGTAAAACAATTACATTTTTTTTCTGTGTAAACAAGGTAAGATAGGAAATGTATTCAACTTGACAAAATTCTATAAAAAACATTTTCAGCTTTCTATTAATCAATGCTAAAGACATCCACTTACTTTATGGATTAAAAGTATTACTGTCCAAACAGTTACCTGATATTATTATTATTATTTTTTTTCTTCGGTTGTTGATTTTTGTGAAAATGCAATAAAGTGGTATTGTTAGAAAATTAGTACAATGAAATCTACTCCTTTTAACATTTTCTGATTTGTTTAATTTTTATTTTTTTTTGTTTATTTTTGTTTATTCACATTTTGCTTTCCATGTGAATGTTGAATCTGTACAGTTTTGGAGCATTTGGACCACAAGCCAGCTTATTTTCTTCATCGACAAAGGTTTATTATATTATTTCTGTGAGCCGTTTTCACATGATCTGTCTTGGTTAAATTTAGATGTTTCATTGTGTAATTATGAATCCTGGTAAGAATCCAATATTGGTTTTTGATATGATGTTTTTGAAATAAAAGTTTTAGCTTTATGTAGGTAAATTGATGTGCAAAGTTATTTTTAAATAATTATGTAAAGTGAAGTCTATCCAATTTTATGTAGTGTTTTTTGTTAAAAATGTTACAAGGTTGACCATTACTTAAATTAAAATAGAAAACTTTCAAGAAAATCTGAAATTATACAGCAGAATATGAGATCAATATGCATGTTAGGTGTTTAGGATATGTGTAAAGAATTTAGAGGGATTTAGATACTTTAGTTTTTGCTTAGTTATCATTTAATCCATTCACCGGGCAAGGAGAAAGGAAAAAGCCAAATTATGGTGATAAAAAGACAGACAGATTGAATATACCAAGGAAAGGAGGGAATCAGACAGATATAAGACTGACTAAAAGCCACTTTATTTGAATTCCTGTTGCACAAAGCAGCAGAAACCTGCATGCAATAGCTTAAACTGAAGTAACTGTCCATGGTTTAGCATTTCCCTACTAAAGCAACTACAACAGTTGCATGAAAAGTGGAAAATTGTGGGTTTAACTCACAGTCCATATTTCAAGATTCTAACAATGCCTCTGATTACAAAATATGTCCAAGATTGACCCAAATCAGAGCAGTCAGGGTTTTGTATGGAGATAAATGAGCACATGCATGTAAATGCACATGTGCACTTCCATACAGCCGCTTTACCATCTGTTCCTTGTTTTTAGGCCCCTTCTGATCACATTTTAACTTATATTTTTGCGGCCTGGATATCTTCAGAGTAGCTGTAGGTACGCGGCACTGTCGTTTGTTTCCGTCTTCAAGGGCTTTTTTGTTTTGATTGGCTCTAGTGCTGCATTCGGCGGCAATCACTAAAGAATTTGAGCAGCAAGGATGCTTAGCAATCATTGCTATGAAATCCAAAATGATCAGACACACATACACTCACACTGGTCTGATTACTACTTTATCTGGTGATTATAATGCTATAGATGTAGGTTGAACCTGCAAGTAAAACTCGCAGAGATATTCTTTGGGTAAATGTTTTACATTTTATAAGAAAAACAATTTTTTTTATAATTTCCAATTAAATATTTCGTGCAGGTTTTTTTCAATGTTCATCTTATTTTACATATCCACCAAAATGCTTACTTACACACACACTCTTGCAGAGGTTACCCTCCATGTTAAAGTGCTGTGATAAAGTGCTGTCTGCTGTTCTTTCACTCTTGAAGTCCCCTGAGAGTAGATCAATACTAGCTTAGCATTAAGTTACAGCTAATGTCTTCATGTTTTTAACCAGGCGATGTGTGGGTGGGCTCCATGAGCCTCTGTGTGTGTGTGTCTGTTTGTCCCTGACATGACCCAAGTTATAATTATCATTAAATGTCAATGAAGGCAATAGGAAGAGTTCGGCTCTATAATAAAGCCATAAATTACAACTCCTCCTCCTGAAGTGTAAGAAAGGCTTAATTCAAATCTCTTTAATGTCAGTTATCAGATGACCTTGAGTGTTTATACCTCTATTTTTGATTTTTACATTCACAGTTGTACAACTGGGTAATTTTGAATAAATAAGGCCACTTTACATTACATTAGCTAAATTACATTGTAATGAGGCAGAGAATAACTCTGAAAAAGAGACCCAAATGATCTTAGATCCTCTACTGTATACATATTTTTCCCCACATTTGATGTGGTTTGATTCACTTCTTGTTTTATTCATGATCCATCTGGAGATTTATCTGAGAAAAATTAAATCAATTTATGTGGCTCCCTTTCTTAGTGTTAACTGCAGTGTGTGAAAACAAGAAAAAAAAATGTTTTCTAATATTGTATATGCTATGCCAGTTAAACTTTTTATAATATTCTGATTGTAGACAAGTGCAAGGTAAGCCCATTAGCCTTTTTCCTCTGGCTATTTCCTGATTTATAACTGGCTCTACTTTAATGCTATTTTTTCAGTCTTTGTTATTTGAGAGGGTGGTAAAGAAATTGGCCTCTGTAAAGTTTCATATTTATGACCCTGAAAATCAAGAGCACAGACTGCTATATAACTGTCTAAAGACTGCTTGATAAATTAAAAAAGTCAGGTTAAAATAAAAATTGTTTTAAGCTCTCCTTTATAGAAATTGCTATGTGAATAAAGTACAGCATTATAAATTGTAAAAAAAAAAAAAAAAAAGATTTATTCATTTTGTATTTTTCAACACTGTACACTTAGCTTAAAATTAAGGGTATATTTTTTCTTTTTGTGACATTGCTCCAATGAAAAATATGTTTCTTTGTTCGGTGGGGTTTTCAAAGGAAAGATGAATTGAAATTTGTAAACTGATCGTATTTTACAGAAGATAAATTTGTCATGCATAGGTAAATATTAGGGCAATTACCTTGACAGGAATTGTCTAAATACCTTGTGCAGAAATGTCTAATACTGATTGCCCTCAGTGAATGTTTGGTAACAAAGCCATTTCAGTGCATGCATGCAGAGGCTTTCTCCCAGGATTGCAGTTTCCTTCCAAAGTTTAGCAAATGTACAGGTTAACTGGTAATTCCAGTTTTAATTTTGGTGGTCAGACAAGTTTTCATGACTGTTTGTCTTTTGTTCCTGTTTGTTTGCATAGAAATAGAGCACAAAATGAGACGCCTAGCAGCTATGAAGGTGTGGAACACATACATTTTCGAAAACTAATAGCCTACTTTATTTGTTGAAACGTTTTCAATATCAAAACGTTTTTAATTTAAACATTTTATTATATATTTTTTTAAAAAGTTATTTAAAGTTGGCAGAAGTAGAAGGTTCTAACAAATGCTATTTTAG